AAATGCCTCTTTAACTGTTAATTGGGGCCACTTCCCGTGAGGTGAGCCCGGTTGGTGAGCAGCTGCCTTCTGTAACTCTAAGTAACTTCTTTGATCTGAGTAGGATTACAATTTGTATCAAAATCTGTTGTCATGGTCGTGCTTTGGTGGCGCAGTGGTTAGCGCACATGACCCATGTATGGAGGCCTTAAGGGCAGTTTAGACTTCTGCAACATCAAATGTCGTTTGGGTCTGATCGCGAACCAGTTTATGCTTCTGCACCGTCGGTCTGGAATTTCTAGGGACACAAAACAGTTTCCTGCCAAAGCTCAAGGGGAAGCACATTCGTGAAATCGCGAGAACTTCGGTTGATGCTCACAAGGACTTTGGCGGCGCCGTTGAGAGTGTGTTGTGTCTGCAAGATTTCACGGTCGCGGAGATGGATCTAGAGTTGCTAGACATCGAAGAGGAACAGGTTGTGTTAATGGAGCGAACCTCCTTGATTAAGCTTTCGTCGCAGTTGTCCATTGTAGCCTTTCCTCGGTTTTTAAAAATGGCGCCCTCCTGCACCGAATTGGAATACCAAGAAAGGAATACCAAGGACCAATCACAGCTGCTTTTTGTCTGCGCACTTCCACTTGAGGTCTGCACGTGTTTGCGACCGTCAGGACACAAACACGTAGTCAGGATTTTTTTTAGGTTTGAGGAGACAGTTGCAGAACCTCTGTGCGGGGGGGCGTGGTCACGCACAGAGACAGCTTTGACAGTTGCAGAGGCTACGCGTCAGAAGCTTAAATTAGCCTTTAGTCCTTAAAGGTGGCCGACTCGGGTTCGAATCCGACCTGTGGTCTTTCCCTCTCTCATACCCCCTTTCCTGTCAGCCTACTGTCTAAAAAAACAGCCACTAGTGCTGTAAAAACTCCCAAAAAAAGTTGCTATATCTCAGGGTTATTTACTACATATACATTATGAAGTGTAATTTAAAGAGTTTGTTCAGAGAAAACTCTTTTCAGGAAACCAAACCCGAGTGGGAAAGCCTCAAGGTGCGGACGCAGAGCTCTCCTTTAACAGCCCCTATCTCTGTTTTAGCTCTTTAGCGTACGTTATGTAGCAGGAAATCCCAATAAACACTTCGCAACGTCAGCAGTGGGATGAGAACAAGTTGCAGGGCTGAACGCCCTATGGTGACACCACTGGCCTCGGTCGTACCTCCACGTTCCACCGCTGCCTCCTCACTGCTTTCTGCTTCTCACACTTGGGAATAGAGAAAAGAAAGGGGGGGGGCATGGCAGCCTAATGGCTCTGTTCAGGCTTGATTGATTCAGTGAAGTAATCTGCAAATGGAATACATTAGGACGGCGGAGAGCTGAGGAGATGACTCAGAGAGCAGCAGAGAACATTGGGAACGCTGGGAAACACTGAAGCATCGTCACCCAAAATAATAACAATCCTGGAAATTTTCCTTGGTGGTTTTCAGTGTTTGTTTTGTTTTTCTGACACATCTGATGTTTACAGACAGGACTTTATTGGGTGGGGGGGCGGTTCTGGGTTGTTTAGCGATGATGAATCCTGTTCAGCAGTTCTCAGCTCTGTAGTTCCATGTTAGGCAGTGCTGGGAAAGGCACAAAATGGCTGCCACAGAGAGAGCCTCCTACAGCAGAGACCTGCAGCTCTCTCCTTCGCTCCACAGCAGCTTTCTCTGCTTTTCCAGGATGTTAACAACAAAAATAAAAATCCTCCTTTTCACACTAAACTCACATCATCAGTTATATCTATAGATGCTGCTGCTGTGACCCTCCTCAGCTCATTATACCCCCCCCCCCCCACACACACACACATACACTCACAGATCAGACCTATTTAAACACCCCACCACTCATGGCTGCTCCACGTTTTCCTCATCATTTGCCATCTAATAATGACTGTGTTGAATAGGAGAGCCTCAATAGCAGCGTCCCCCCCCCCCCATATCTGTCTCTCGCTGTCCAGCTTGTGCAGTCAGCAGAACAGGCTGGTGCTGTGCAGTATTGAGTTAGGAAAAATCAATGACTGCAGAGTGGGAGTAGGTAGGAGCCTGTGTGTGTGTGTGTGTGTGTGTGTGTGTGTGTGTGTGTGTGTGCAATGCTTGTGCAAAGCCAGGCTGAGGAATCAGAGCTGTCAGATATTTACAGAATGTCAGGAGAGCTCACTTTGTAAGCCGTGCATACGATATGTGCCGCTGTAGGCTCTGAGAAGGGTTTGTTTGGAGCTGCTGTTTTCACACCGAGAGGGGAAAAAAATCTTTTTTGGATTAGATTTAGTTGTGTCGCTGTTGAATTATGGATTATTATTCTTATAAAACCTTCATGTTTGCATTAAACTGGAGAGGTCAGGCTTCTCTTATGACATCTGATTCTGGTCCCTCCTGAAAACTTCTCACCAGCAGCTCCTCTTTTGGGCCAAATTTACTGTAAAGTCGAACCCTTTTGTATAAAAATAAAATCTGCTTCTTTGCTCTTGAATCCTTTATGGCTTTTCTGTGCGTTTCTTTATTTTATTGGATTCTTTGTGTTTTACTGGAAGGTAGAGAAACCACCTTCATGGATTCTAGTTAATCTACTTCTGTACATATTTGAAGAATATTTACAGTGTTTACTTTTTTGTGGAAGATGGATCCTAATAGTTATGTTGGTCCAGTTTTAAATTTGGTTATTGGGGAGTTTATTTTCCTTTTTTTTGTCCCATTTGGATACGACGCTGCAGCTTTGAGCATCGACTGATATCGATACTGATCAGCACCAATAATAGGCACCTTTATTGCTCACCTTGTTGGGAGGTATATTAGAAGAGGCCTAATCAGTTATGTTATAGGTATGAAACCAACCCACAAACTTATTATTAATCTTTTAAGGCCCTCTCACACCTTAGATTTCGCCAGCGTATGCCCGATGTCCCAGAATCTCCTAAAGTGCTTGCATAAGATGAACTTTCTATGTATTTTTTAAATTTAAGGCGTATACATAGAGTACATAAGTTCTCCAGAACTTATGTTCAATGACAGCCTAACTTATATATAACGCACGGCAGCGTAATGTCCATGAATGTCACGAGCCAGTGTCCTGAGAGGGGCAGCAATGCACTGGAGGCGTCCATTCTGGATAAAAAGATTTCTTTGATCGCGGTATTAACCTAGCTGCTGTTTATCACCCGCCAGAAAGAAAGAAAGGTTTGCAGTTGCAGCAGATTCAGCGTCATGTCTGCTTGGAAGTTTGATGGTCGTGGTCGAATGCAGGGAGGATCCATCACACTCACCTTCACGCTCATCCTATGATGGGGATGCAGTCTGGACGAGGACGGTTTCCTCTTGTGAACCATTATATACGCCATTATACAGTATATGTAAGTTAGAAACACGTGCAGCGCTCGTCTGGAACACATCAGATACGTTGATATGCGTTGGAGACAAGTTCTCGGTAGGTTATGCAGAAGTTATGCGCACATTAATCATAGGTTTTGGATAACCTAGACGCCACAATTTATGAGTTACTGACACTTAATGTAGGTCACCCCCGCCATGCTTCTGTGTTTACATCTGAGAGGAAGAAAATCAGACAAATAAGGCAACACCCCCGAGTTTACGTCATGTTTGGATTCTCCCGTTTTAAGGTGGAAGTTTAGAATTGTGAGATTTTCAGAGAAAGGAGGCGTAGATAAGGTTTGAACTCCTCTGTACGTCCATTTCACCCACTGAACTATCGTTATGCATCTATGACAATGGAATCTCTGTTTTGCATTCTAAGACCCTTTAAAAGTTTTTACATCCAGCTGTTGTATGTGTTGCTATGGTGACCAGGACAGAAATGTAAAAACTAGCTTAGCCTAGCTTTTCTTTGTTTTTTCTGGGGGACAAAGTATCACAGAAAATATGAACTAAATGTATCTGCAGTACAAAGGTTGGAAATGGTGGGATAATTTGGACCCATCCTTTTAGATGAACCCGGTCTGTTTGGTCCTGGTTCTGAATCTCAGGCAGTGAAGAGGTTGTCCTTGTGGAAACTGGTTGGGACCGGCTCAGCCCGCCGTCAGATGACCGGTCTTGTGATGTCTCCTTAGAGTTGGGTCCAAACAGGAGAACTGAGGGCCGGGTCAGCTGAGCAAGGATCCGGACCGGGTCAGAACCTTGTGCTGTTTGATCCCCGCTGTCTGCCTCACTGGGCTCAGATGTCCTGCTGCACTAAGAACCTTGGTTCTACTGAACCCACATCAGGTCAGGAGGCTTTAAGCCTGTGCTTTGGTAGCAGCGAGGGAGGGAGAGGCCTGTGGAGGAGGAGGGGGGAGGATTCTGAATCAGCGTTCTCCTCCCGTCACTCCCTCTGGGGTTCCTCCATCAGGTCACATCCCAAAAATAGCAGCGGGCGCCGTTTCAAGTGCAAAACCGCCGGCTTCGGGGCTGCAGCCAGCGTGAGTGTGAGATTTCTATGGGAATACTTGGCCTTTCTCCAAAGCATGTTTCTTTTTTTCCCCTCCTCCCTTCCTCCCTCGGCTCCCTCCTCCTCCTCCTTTAGTGTGACTGGCAGATGAGCTAGCATTTCTGAGAGTGAGCACATGTTCTCCACGTGACGGGCCGATGTGTAAACACTCACCTTCCCTGTTTCTGTCCCAGCCGGGCGGCTCAATAACAACACCACATGGCAGCGCAGGCTGCGGCCAGCGCCGCTTCTATCAGCTGCCTCCTGAGATGACTGGCTTCAAAAAGCCCCCCCCCTCCCCTCCCCTCATGCAGACAGAGTTCTCTGTTTGCCAACATGGATCATTTTCAGACTTCCAGGAGGAATGTGGAGCGTTTTCCTACTGGAGAAACGAGACTCCTGCTAATGAAGCGAGAGATTTCTGCCGGGTTCACTTATTTCACACGACTTTGTTCCAAGTTTTTTTTCCTGCGGGTTCTATCATGAAGCAGCAGCTCAGTTCGTTTTCAGGTCAAAGGTCACGGTCTCCTGATTTAACCCCTACTGAACCAAAGCTCTCTCTCCTTCCTCCAGGATCTGTCCGGCTCCATCGACGACCTGCCCACCGGTACCGAGGCCGTCCTGAGTCCGGGCGTCAGCACCTCCGGTGTGTCCAGCAGTCAGGGCGAGCAGAGCAACCCCGCCCAGTCGCCTTTCTCCCCACACACCCCTCCCCACCTGCCCGGCATACGCGGACCCTCGCCCTCTCCGGTGGGCTCCCCGGCCAGCGTGACCCCGTCTCGCAGCGGGCCGCTGTCCCCGGCCGCCGTGCCAGGTAGGTTATTTGTCCGACTGTTAAACGGACCGCGATGGGTCCAGAATGGTCAGCGCCAATGTGTCTCTGCTGTCCCCCAGGTAACCAGATGCCTCCCCGGCCGCCCAGCGTCCAATCAGACAACATGATGCATTCTTCCATGAACCAGTCACCCATGGGTCCAGATAGAGGTGAGGAAAAGTAGAAATTCAGCTTTTCAGGACCGACAAAATAATTTATTGTCTATTAATCTATAGCTGTAAAGCAGCGGGATCCTTGTTAGATGATCTGAGAAAATGTCTTTTAGGTGGGGGTGGGAGTCATTTAGCAGAAGGCCAAGCCGGCATCGTGTCCAGCCTTAAATCAGAGAGCAGAAACTCTGAAGGCGTTTGGATCCGAGCTCAGGCTGCTGCTGGGATGTCTTCTTACCGACTGACTGTTAGAAGGCGCCTCCATGATTTAGAGTCAGATCCCACAGTGATGATCAGTGGGCGAATCACAGAGGCTGATCTGTTGGATCCATACAGGCTGGATTTATTAGTCCTGTTTCCAGCTTCCTTCAATCTGCTGCGGAGGATCGTTCTCCACCTTCAGCAATGTCAACGTGGGAATGTTTTTAATTTCTGTGGAGAATTTGTGGGCAGTCCTTTTAAACGGGGCTGTCAGATCAGCAGGGAAGTAATGAGGGTCGTTACTTAGCCTGAGCCACGCCTCCTTGTTTATATTATGCTTCCAGGAATCTTTCCATGGTCTTCATCAGGAGTTCTGAGCTTTTAGTATCTTTAGAAACTGGATGCATGTGGTTTGATAGCTGCTTCTGTTTATGTTCCTGCTAAAAGAACAAAGTTTGGTTGTTTTCTTCAGTATTTATGGAGTGATATTTGTTCCATCAGTGTATTTAAAAAAAAATAATAATTTAAATTGACATTTATCAGAAATAAAACTGAGAAATTTCTTTTTTTTTTTTTATGTATTTATTTTTTAATAAAAAACAAAAATTAACAAAAATAAGAAAAAAAAAAAAACTGAGAAATTTCTGATATGTAAGCAAAGGTTTTGATATTTTCTTCCCCCCCAAATACTTTTTGATTGATTTTTAGCTTTTATTTTATTTTTATTTCTTTCACATTTCTTTCAGGTTGTTATCAATTACATTTTTTAAATATAGTTTTTCAGACCACATTCTGCTAATTTCAAGCCCAAACCAAAGGCTCACACTGACCGAGCAAAGGTTTGTTTCGCACTCTACCCTGGAGGGGCAGACAATGTGATCCATAAAACACAATTTGAAGAACAGAAAAAGATTTAAAAACCAAAAAACGTCAGAAAATAAATCCCAAAATAAAGTAAAAACTACATATTTCATTATTGGAGAAAACGGCAAAGTTTCCATCAAAAGTTTCATTTCTGTATTGATTTTTTCAAATTCCCTCTTATTAAACTTGCTCTTTGCAACAATAATGGAATAAAATCCACTCCATACATCAAAGGAAGGATGGTTTCAGTTTTTTTCTTCTGCCTATAAACGTTCCTACGTTTTGCGGTCCTGCCTACATGAGTGACCTTTCCCTCTGGATCCCTTCCAGCGTACATCCGTAACCCTCAGATGCCTCCGTATGGGTCCCCTGGACAGCCTGGCTCTGCCTTATCCCCACGCCAGTCCTCAGGAGGCCAGATGCATAGCGGAATGGGACCATATCCACAGAACAATACCATGGGGAACTATGGCCCTCAGGGGGGCCAGTATGGCCCACAAGGTGAGGCTCCATTAACGATGAGCAGCAGGTAGCGTGAAGAAATGTTGATTCTCCAAGAGGTTATTTAGAAGGTTTGCAGGGTTCAAATCTGCTTGATTTTAGGCAGTAAGAGAAATTTAATGACTTTAAACTGTTGCCTTCTGTGTTGAATTTTTAATTTAAGGATATATAAAATATCAATATATATATATATATATCTATTAGGGGTCGATTGCGGTTTTCTGGCCAATTTCCGATCACCGATCTTTAAAAAGTCTGACCTGCCGATTCTGATTTTGGTTGATACCGATTTGATTATTTTTTTGCTATAACCAACACTGTGTTACAAGATCGCAATTCACTTTCAATGTTACAATCTTTTCTTGAAAAACATGCCCTTGAACAATAGCCTTGAACCATTATAAACTTGTTTTAAACTGAGGTAGAGCCTTGACATAGAAACGAATTAAATAATAAATATTAATTAAATAAAACAAACTTAAGACTACAACATTGGTCTTTTGATTTTTTTACATTTCAAAAAACAAAACTTCAACAAAAGATCAGATTAGAGAACTATTTTAAGGTTCTTACCAAAAATAAAGTGCACAGTAGTATTTTGCTTTTACAAAATCACAAGGTTCAAGGTCCTTTGAGAACATACTAGCAACTTAAAAGAAAATCCCCCGATGCAGCAGCTTTGTGTCCATTTAAATGTATAAGCCATCTAAACAGTAACTTGCAAAATCTTACAATACTAAATCTTCTAACAACATTATCAGGGGTAAGCTTTGATCTCAGTCTTATTGGAGTCACTTTTTCTTGATGAATAAAAGCATTTCTGCTTTTTCACCACTCAGGTGACTTCTTTTCTCATCTACTACTCATCCAGCCAAGCTAAACAGGCGTTCACTTTCAATGCTTGTGCATGGGGCAGAGAGATAAGTTTCCTCGTAGTAGCTTTGTTTTTTTTCATTGCTCATAAGAGCTAACAGCGGGCCACCAACGGACTTCCGGTGGCTTTTGCTTTAGCCCTAGCTTGATTGTTCTTTTCAAATGCTGCATATTCAGCGGCGTGGTGGTTTCTTAAATGGCGAACAGGGTTTGTAGTATTAAAGCTTTTGGAAGTGGTTCCATCCAGACTAATTTCGGCCTTACAAGAATTGCAAATTGCGAGCTTTTCGTCTCCTTCTTTAACAGTATAATAATTCCAAACCAACGACATAGCTGCACCTGGTGACCTGTGAACTGCGACACCAGATGTTGTTACAGTTCACTCGACCCGGTGGGCGGGTCTTTCAGTCAGCCGTCTCTAAGAGCAGAAAAAATATGGAATAGAGACGGATTTTAAGACACTCGCGGAGGTAAATAGATCGGTGGTTAAGATTGGTTTCCTATGTATATATCGGCCGATCACCAATCACCCTAAATCAAGAAAATCGGGGCCGATCTATCGGTGCACCCCTAATATATATATGTCCTCGAACTCAACGCTATTTCTGACATTTTGAATTGAAAAAGCTTCCTGGATGGGAAGCGAAACGTCTTCAACGTCTTTTTTGGAATGACTCCAATCTGGATGACTGAGAATCTTCACCAGCAATTTAAGGATAAAAGCAGTTTAATCACCTTCCAGACCCAAAATATTAAGTTATTACTCTAATTCCAGTCCTAACTTGGTGAAACCTTCAGATTATTCCTGAAATGCCTTCAGTTATAAAGCAGTGGTTCCAAACGCTGCTCCTCAGAGATCGTCTCTGTTCCGGTTCCTTCGATCCAAAGGATCGCCGCCTGTTATCAGAGACCCCTAAAACCTGCAGGGTCCCTGAGGACCATGGTCAGGAACCGCTGCTTTAAGGTCTGGAACTGTCTCTGTGGGTTTTGAGGTTGTGTAGTGAGTCATGGCCGCCAGCGGTGGAAGCTGGCTGAAGCATCAGACGGCTTGTTGGCACAGGCAGCAGCGGTTTGAAGTTTAGAGCTGAGCTGAAGGAACCCTTCCTGCTCCTGAGGGCCTAACCTGATCCCTTATCCTCCAGGCTACCCCAGGCAGCCCGGCTACACAGGGATGCCCAACGCTAACTACCCCAGTGGACCCGGAATGGGCGGCTCCATGAACGCCATGCCGGGTCAGGGCGGCGGGGCTCCGTACGGAAACATGCCGCCCGGACGGATAGGCCCAGGGCAGATGGGGGCCCGGCCCTTTGGTCCTGCCGGCATGGGCCCCAACATGGGGAACATGCCGCCTCAAGTGGGGTCCGGCATGTGCCCCCCTCCCGGCATGAACAGGAAGGACGGCGGCCCCTCCATGCACCACGGCGCAGGCAACTCCATACACAACAGGTGGGTGTGTCTGGACTCAGTCTGATTGGAGCAAAAACAACAGGTCCTCATCATCAAACTGTTCCCCCTCAGACCCCCAGGATATCCCAACATGTCCCAGGGCATGATGGGATCAGGCCCCCCCTACGGCCCGGGGATGAACAGCATGCATGGTGTGATGAACCAGGGAGGGCCGGGGCCCTATCCAGTGGGAGGAAACATGGCCAACAACACCCCCGGTGAGTGGACCCTCTGCTCCCCATCAGACGCTGCTGCTGCTGTAAGACCTGCTCTGATAGCGCTGTTCTCCCCCCCCCACCAGGGATGGCGCCAGGCTCTGAGTTTGGCATGGACAAAATGACCCCCACCCAGAAGATCAACAACAAAGTGGATGGGACTCCAAAACCTGAATCCAAAAAGGTAAGAGCCCAACGTCCGTCATCTGAGTGCTGGTTTGTTTCTCCTGGTTTCTTCCTCATCTGCTCGTCTTTGTGTCGCTCCAGAAGTCCAGCTCTTCCACCATCACCAACGAGAAGATCACCCGGCTGTACGAGCTGGGCCCCGAGCCGGAGAGGAAGATGTGGGTGGATCGATACCTGGCCTTCGCTGAGGAGAAGGCCATGGGGATGAGCAACCTGCCCGCCGTGGGCCGCAAGCCCCTCGACCTCTTCCGCCTCTACGTGTCTGTCAAAGAGATTGGTGGCCTCACCCAGGTTCGCTGGGTTCACTTTGTTTTTGTTTTTTTAAGTTTCAACGTAAACATCTTTGAATGTTTAGTGTCTAACCTGGGATCTGTCCTCGTCTCTCTGCCTTACCAGGTGAACAAGAATAAGAAATGGAGGGAGCTGGCCACCAGCCTGAACGTGGGAACGTCCAGCAGCGCCGCCAGCTCGCTCAAGAAGCAGTACATCCAGTGTTTATACGCCTTTGAGTGTAAGATTGAGCGCGGCGAGGACCCGCCCCCTGACTTCTTCAACACAGACACCAAGAAGAACCAGCCCAAGATCCAGCCTCCGAGCCCAGGTGAGAGCTGCTCTCAGGTTACCCCCCCACAGAGCTCCCTAAACCCATCAACTCCCTCAGTAATGTTTAAAGCGAGACCCAGTAGAGCCGCCATCTTTTTCTGTGCTCTTCTGTCTGCTGCAAAATCGGTGATTAAACCCGGTGGTCCGGTGTTTGCTTTGGGTGGGGTTGTTAGCTGACGTTCAGAGGAAGAACCGATGCAGAGAGGCGGCGTGGCAGGAGGATGAGGTGCTGTGACCGTAGCGGAGCTTCCTGCCTTTGGCCCGGAGCCACGGCAGCGCAGCAACGCTCCCTGGAGATCAGCACCGCGGTTAAAGGAGCTTCAGGGGTTCTCTGTGTTTATATGAACACGCGTCACACATCTCTGCCCCCCCCAATCGTCTGCACTGGTGGGGAATCCTTGCCCAGAGGGAGGGGGGGAGGGGCCGTGTGAGAACAGAAGAGGCTGATGTGAGAAATGTGAATAACTGTGACCTGCTGGTGACCCGACTGTGTGGTGATTTAATGAATGGGAACCTGTGACTCACCAGACGTAATAGTGAGAAGTCCTGAGCTCAAGTTGAGGATGAGCGATACTATGTCACACGCACTCTGAACACAAACAAACCATCAGTCACTCTTTCACACACCCCTCCCCTTTAGAAAGCATCAGTAATCGGTTTAGAGTCAGGAGGTGGAACAGTGAACACCGACCGAGCAGAAACACTTTCATTGAATCCTAATGAGACGGTTTATCTGGAGAAATCTGCTGCTGCTAAAGTGTTATGTTGTGGTCCTTGCAGCTGGTTCAGGGTCCCTCCAAGGGCCACAAACTCCCCAGTCAACCACCAGCTCCATGGCAGAAGGAGGAGACCTGAAGCCCCCCACGCCTGCCTCCACCCCGCACTCACAGATGCCTCCGATGCCCGGCGTCAGGTAGGAAGCTGAAGCCGGAAAATCATGTTTTCATGTTCGTTTTATCTGGAGTTACATTAATGACATGAAACCTCCCCCCTAGTGGTGGAACTGCAGCATTACAGCAGAAATCAGAAGGATTCTGTAATCAATCTACCCATCGCCCCTTAGAAGGCTTTTATTCTAATTATTACTTATTATTTAGTGTCTCAGTGAAAGGAAAAGCCAATCAAGCAGTACTTTCTCTTAGAACTCGAGCTTCTTGTTCTGCATCCAGGGGTCTGATAGAAATGATCCGTGCTGATAGTGGACCTAACAAATTGTCCTTCTGCAGGAGTAGTGTGAATCTTCAGGATCCTTTTGCCGACGGCGGAGACCCTGCATTCTCCAGAAGGAACACCATGACTCCTAACTCTCAGGGCTACCAGCCGGGCATGGGCGGTCCGGAGATGATGAGCCGCATGGCTCCGTACGAGTCAAACAAAGACCCATTTGGAGGCATGAGGAAAGGTAGGAGCTGTGATAATAAACCTATTCTTTTTTTTAATGTAAAAAATGCTAATAAAATAGATAAAATGTGTTATACACCACACTTTTTTCCATTATGCTGGAGATTTCTTCCTGTTAAATGGGAGTTTTTCCTCTCCACTGTCGCTACAAGCATGCTTAGTGTGAGGGATTTCCTTCAAGTCAATGAGTCGATGCAATCAATTAGTTTTTCTTAGACAGAAAACTTTGAATCAATTTGACTGTATGATCTGGTTGAACTGTAAAATGTCTTGAGATGACGTGTTGTGAATTGGCGCTATAGAAATAAAGTGATTTGAATTGGATTATTTAATATAGATTATTTAATATAGATTATTTAATATAGATTATTTAATACAGATACATACATTAGCCTTCCAAATTGGTGTAAAAACAAACCAGAGAATTAAAACATTATGGTTTTGCTTGTTCTTTATAAGCGGGAGAACAGTTCATGCCACCGAACCCTAACAGCGGCATGGGGGAGCAGTATAACAGAGGACCACCAGGACCCATGGGGGCCATGCCAATGGGTCAGAGACAGCAGTACCCATACGGATACGACCGAAGGTCAGAACACTGCAGGCTGTTTGGTGTCGGCTTTAATGAAGCCAGGGGTTATGGAAGCTGATGACGGCTCTGGGTTGGTTTTACAGGCAGGAACAAGGCATGGGCCCTGAGGGAAACATGGGGCCCGGAGCACCTCAGCCCAGTATGATGCCTTCTGGTGCCGACGCAGGGATGTATTCACCCAGCCGCCCCCCGCCACAGCAACGGTCAGTACCACGGCAGGGTTATCATCCCATCTCAAACTGCAGAGTTGCTCTTTACTCTAACTCTTGTTGTTTTCAGGCACGAGTCGTACACAAATCAATACCCTGGCCAAGGGGCTCCCCCTGGTGGCCCATACCCGAATCAGCAGCCAGGAATGTACCCACAGCAGCAACCTGTAAGGACATCTATTAGTTTTACCACCATGTTGATTCTGGTTGTTCCAAACATAATACCAACATGTCCTCTTATTGTTTCCTGCTGACAGAACTACAAGCGGCCTGTAGATGGCGTGTACGGTCCTCCAGCCAAGCGCCATGAGGGGGAAATGTACAATGTTCCTTACAGCGGTCAGCAGCAGCCTGGGCCCCAGGCCGCCGGACACCAGGGCCAGCAGGACATGTATAACCAGTATAACACGTATCCAGGAGGGGAGCGCAGACCACCGGCCCCGCAGGGCCAGTTCCCCTTCCCCTTTGGAAGAGATCGAGGACCTTCATCTGCAGGTCCAAACTCCCAGTCCCACATGCCGCCTCAGATGATGACCAGCTCCATGCCTTCTGGTCCAGATGGGCCCCAGGGCCCCGTGTGGCAGGGTCGCAACGAGATGGGCTTCCCTAACTACCCCAACCGACAGGGGCCTCCTGTACCGGGCCAGGGCCCCGGGTACCACGGGATGAACCGCTCAGCAGAGGAGATGATGCCTTCAGACCGGGGCATCAACCATGAGGGCCAGTGGCCCGGCCACGTTAACCAGAGGCAGCCGCCGTTTGGACCCGCCAGTTCTGGACCACCTATGACCAGACCCTTACCCTCTACCTACCAGACTTCTCAGAACCACATTCCTCAGGTGTCGAGCCCGGCTCCCATGCCGCGGCCCATGGAGGCCAGGACGTCCCCCAGCAAGTCCCCTTATATGCACCCTGGCATCAAGGTGCAGAAAGCCGGCCCTCCGGTGCCCGCGTCGCATATCGGCCAGGCCCCCGTGCAGCAACCCATGATCCGGAGAGATGTGGCCTTCCCCCCCGGCTCTGTGGAGGCGACCCAACCCCACCTTAAACCCAGACGGAGGCTCACCATGAAAGACATCGGTGAGTAACTGCTTTCCTTTCTGTGATTTAGACGCTTAAAGAAAGTTCTGATCGTTTTGACTCTTTTGCCTACAAAGGAACTCCTGAGGCCTGGAGGGTTATGATGTCCCTGAAGTCCGGTTTACTGGCTGAAAGCACCTGGGCCTTGGACACCATTAATATCTTACTGTATGACGACGGCAGCATTACTACTTTTAATCTCTGTCAGGTGAGAACCTCCCCTCTGCAAACTCAAGCAGTCGGTCGTTTCAATCGGATTAATTTGACTCTTTGGTTTTCAGCTGCCTGGCTTCCTGGAGCTGATAGTGGAGTACTTCAGGCGCTGCCTCATAGAGATCTTCGACATCCTGAAAGAGTACGAGGTGGGAGACCCCGGTCAGCGCACCCTGATAGACCCCAATGCTGCAGAGGTCTCTGACGATGAAATCCCCCTGCCTGAGTGTGAGGACATGGACACAGATGAGGAGGAGGATGAAGACGAGGAGAACGAGGAGAAAAGGCCCAACCATGAGACCTCCTCACTGGTGAAGGTTAAAGAGGAGGAGGAAGAAAACTCCCCGAAAGACAAATCCTCTGACGACGAGGAAGAGAAGAAGGAGTCTTCTACCAAGGAAGCCGGTAGCTCTACCTCAGGGTCTTCTCAGGACCCCAACATTCACTCGGAAAAGCCCAAGCAGGCGAGCAAGTTTGATAAACTCCCCATCAAGGTGGTGCGTAAGAAGAACCCCTTCCAGTTAAACCACTCATCCAAGCTGGGGCAGCGGCAGAGTTTTGACAGCGGCCTGATACACTGGAGCATTGGCGGTGGCGACACTACTGAACACATCCAGACCCACTTCGAGAGTCAGACGGACCTTCTGAAGCTGCGGAAACGCTCGCCGCCTGCCGCCGAAGGCCGTAAGAAGGCCAAGCTGCCGGGCCCGACGATGGAGAACTCTGAGAAATCCAAGTCCTGTTCGGAAGACAAGGTCCACCAGCAGCCGGCCCAGTCCTCTGATCCCGACAACGCCTCGTCGGAGAAGACCCCTTCCTCCCTGCCCATAGGGGCTCCCGTCACCGCCACCATCGATGACGTACTGTCAGCCCGACCGGGGTCGGTCACTATGGAGGTGGTCCGAGGAGGCGTGGACGAGCAGAAAGAGAACGGCAAGTACCTGTTCAGCATCAACCCGGACCCTCAGAATCGGCGCAACGTCAAAATACTAGAAGACGAGCCTCACAGCAAGGACGAAACCCCCCTCAGCACTCTGTCGGACTGGCAGGACTCGTTGGCGCGACGCTGCATCTGCGTTTCCAACATCATCAGGAGCCTCTCTTTCGTTCCCGGTAACGACCTAGAAATGTCCAAACACCCGGGCCTCCTGCTGCTGCTGGGCCGCCTGGTGCTGCTCCACCACAGGCACCCCGAGCGCAAACAGGCGCCGGTCACCTACGAGAAGGAGGAGGAGGAAGACGAGGGCGTGAGCTGCGACAGAGACGAGTGGTGGTGGGACTGCCTGGAGGTGCTGAGGGAGAACTGCTTGGTCACTCTGGCCAACATCTCCGGCCAGCTGGACCTTTCCATCTACCCAGAGAGTATATGCCTGCCGCTGCTGGACGGCCTGCTGCACTGGGCCGTGTGCCCCTCGGCGGAAGCCTTGGACCCCTTCCCCACCCTGGGGCCACACAGCTCCCTCTCCCCCCAGAGACTGGTCCTCGAGACCCTCAGTAAGCTCAGCATCCAGGACAACAACGTGGACCTCATCCTGGCGACGCCGCCGTTCAGCCGCTTGGAGAAGCTCTACGGCTCGCTCGTGCGCCTGGTCGGCGAACGCAAAGTGGCCGTCTGCCGGGAAATGGCGGTGGTTTTGCTAGCCAATTTAGCTCAGGGCGACAGCCTAGCAGCGCGGGCCATCGCTGTGCAGAAAGGCAGCGTGGGAAACCTGCTGGGCTTCTTGGAGGACAGCCTAGCAGCCACGCAGTACCAACAGAGCCAAAGCTCCCTGCTTCAGATGCAGGGCGGCCCCCATTTTGAGCCTACCAGCGTGGACATGATGCGGCGGGCGGCCCGGGCGCTGCACGCCCTGGCTAAGGTGGAAGAAAACCACTCAGAGTTCACTTTGTACGAGTCGCGCCTACTAGACATCTCCGTGTCGCCGCTCATGAACCCTCTGGTGTCGCAGGTCATCTGTGACGTTCTGTTTTTGATTGGCCAGTCATGACAGCCGCCAGCGGCGTTCCGCTCTGCCTCTTTCCGTTCCCTCCCAATCTCCTTTTTTCGTATGTGTGCGGATGTATGCGTGGTATGAGTGAAACGAGTACGAACCGACTGTCCTTTGTTTTTAATTTATGCAAAAATCACCTCGGACTCTGTCTTTTTACCCCCCCTGCTTCTCACTAAAGGAAGGAATATCATGAAGTAGCTGTGGATTTAAAGCGTCTCAAGCGGAGCGATTAGCGGCAGGAAGGAGCAGATCAGGACCCAGGCATAGGACAGAATGCACTGCCCTGCAGACTGGACTCTTTGGGTTTTTTTAAGGAAAACAAAAACTCCATTTAAAAAAGAAAAAAAGGTATAAAATAAAAAGCTAAAAAAAAACAACAAACTGTAACCAAAGTTGCTGTTTCGTTTACAGTGAGTTTGGGGGATAGATCCACGCGCTCGCATTCTCCCTCAGAGGGGGGGCCTGCAGGGCCACAAAGGAAACAATATTCTGGTTCACGTCGAGGCTACGTAGACTCCCGGACTGTGGTGTGGTATAATTGCTGTAATTTTTTGGATGCTATATACTCAGCCTCACCAGAACCACGTTATTGGCTGTGAACAGACATCTATCATGGGAGGCCTGTGCAGTAGATTGTAGGACTTTTTTCTGTACTGTACACCTTAAAAAACTGTAAACATACTGTAATAATACTGTTTCACACTGAGATATGCTGGCTTGGCAGCAAACTGTAGTTTTTAAAAACAGTTTTAGTTCATGTCGAGAGAAAACGGCTTTCCCCCCAAAGTATGGTGAACCTACAACACCCCGACCTCTTCTCTTTGTCCCTTGATTGTATGACCTGACCCGCTTATATTAAAAAGTCACCTATAGGACTGGTCCTTAACGCTAGACGCAGTCCAGGCTGCAGTGTAAATATCACGTTGTACATTACACTTCTCTCTTTCTCAGCTTCTGTTGCTCTTCATGGTTTTTAATCTTTGATGAGTTTTCTTTTGTTGTTTTTTTTTTTCACCCTGCATCAAGTAACGCCATGTGATTTACTTGAGGCCACCCCGCTCCGTTATTTCGGCGCGCCCTGCTCTGTTCAGCGCCCCGCGGAGGGCGTCCAGCTGCTGTCCGATGCCACATCTAAACAAACGTCGAGTTTCAGCTTGTCTCTGCTCTGAGGGTTGAAAAAAGCAGATCAGGTCTGCGGTTTGATTGGAGCGCCCTCACAAAGACAAACTAAACCTTGATGAAGAAGGCGGTTTTAATCTTTATTTTATTTTTTTTTTCCAGTGATGCGGATTCTGCATATTTGTATCTCAGATGTAGCTAAAGACTTGATGTAAATTCCTTTTTTCCCCTTTTTTGGCTTAATGAATATCATTTATTCAGTATGAAATCTTTATACTATATGTTCCACGTGTTAAGAATAAATGTACATTAAATCTTCGTAAGATGTTTGCTGTGGATTTATTTTGGATTAACCTTTTTTTTTTTTTACCTGCAAGCGTAAATCCAACATTGGTATGATTTCTTTTAGATATGTCAAACAGAAGCAGAAAACAAGTTTTTTTTTTTTTATATTTTATTTATGCAAATAAAAATTTCAAAAAGTGGGGAGTGGATTTGTATTTACCCCCCTTCTTTTTTTTTTTCTTTTTTAAACAACCATAATCGTAGAACGAATGGCATCATAAAGACCATAGCCGGCAGGTCAGAATAAGGTAAATATGAAACCCTTAATCCATGTATTCTCCAGAGGAGCTGCAGAGATTCCTAACCAGTGGAAAACCTCAGCGATCAGGGTGGTTAAAATCAACCCACCGCCTGACTAACCAGGTTAGGAGGAGTTAGTTGGGTAAAGGGGCATTGCAGCACTATGTAAAATTGTGACCCTCTTACATTTGAAACAGGGTTTCCGCGGGTCATTAAAAGTTATATTTTAAATTAAGGCCTTAATTGGCATTAAAGTTAATTACATGTATTTATTGTGGCATTTAAAATGATTTATTAAAAATATATGTATTACAAAACAATTTTGTCCGATACATCAGATATAACTGGTTCTGTGTTCGTGCAGAACTGCTTCTAGTTGATCGTAAAACCTGTAAAGTATGTTTGTAAAAGAAGCTCGAGGCGGAGAAAACATTAGAGAACGGTAAAATGAATACTTCAACAAAAGTGGCTGGAAAACGAATTCAGAACATGGCTGCAGCCTGTCGACGGTAAAGATGACGGATTTTGCTGTGTTTTATATATATATATATATACACACAGTTGTAGGTACTTGTGGTTGACATTAAATTTATTTCTAAGAGCATTAAAAGGAATTAAATTAGAGTTACTTATTCCTGTATAAACCCTGTGAGAAAAAGCTGCTGCATACCTGTCCTTGTTTTAGGTCATCAAATATCAGGTTCTTTTTTCATTTTATCATTAAGCGAGTTTCAATAAACAAACAAAAAAAAAAATATATATATATATATATATATATGGCAAGAGCAATGTTTGAAAAGATTTTTTTTACCAATTGAGTTAAACAGCTCTGTTTAAATATTAATCCCATAAAGTTAGCTTAACCTGAAACACAGAGGGATTAGACTCTGTGTGATTGGAGGGATTGCATGAAGGCAGGATTCTGCCAAAAGTGAACATGTGTAATGAATACTGTTATAAATAGGATTAGATTTATTTAAAACGCACCAAGATGCTTTGCTAACGTTAACTATCGACATCTAGAAGGAAAATGGTACCGTTTCAAGAGGCGGGATTTCCTGAAAGGTAGCTGATAGCAGGTAGTTTACTTTGTGGGGTTGGTTCAACCCTCAAAGTGACAAATGTTGCTGCAGGAGAGAATCTACAGGCGCATAAAAAGCAAGAGAGCAGAGGAGCAGCATGAAGTCATGTTGGTGTTTATTTGGGAATTCATGGATTGAATCTGCACGTTTAAACATTCAAAATAACCAGGTGCTGTGTTAGAATCCCCCGGCTGCGTCCTTTAAAGGCCAGATTCGTCCTCTGATTACATCATAGCGTAGCGCCGTGGCCTCTCAGGATTCGAAGGCTGTGTCCGAACCTTCGCCTTAACCCCTGTGGTTACGCCATATATGAGGTTGTGTCTGAACGCCCCCCTAACCCTTTAGTCCCTTACGTTATAGAGCGGGGACCATATAGTGGACTGTTCGGAAGGATGATCACTAGTTTGCAACGTGCATTGTGGTAAATTTGGGGTCCACTACTTTTAATCCACTAGATGTTCACTCATCTACAATAGCATAACCACTGTCAGAGGTGTCAAGTAATGAAGTACAAATACTTTGATACTGTACTTAAGTACACTTTTTAGGTATTTATACTTTACTCCATTACTTATTTTTCTTCCTAATTCTGACTTCTACTCATTACAATTTCACACCAGTATCTGTACTTCCTATTCCCTACATTTTTAAAACAAACGTTACTCGTTACTCTTGGCTTTGGTTTAATGTTTATAAATATTTATTTCCCGTCATGTGCTCCATCCAATGCAGATCATCGGCTCCATCCACATCTAGTGAAAACTAGCGTAATTGGAAGAGTCATAGAATGCAAACACTCATTGGTTAACTAAAGGAAATCATCAGAAGCAAGCAGGTGTTCTTCAAACTGCAAACGTGAATTGTCTATGCCATGCTACGATGTTGGATTCAGAAAAAGATGTTGAAATGTCTGAAAGGTCGGACACAGGCGAGAGCGTATCGGGAGACGGAGACCAACAAGACCTCCCTCATCCTTGGCCCTATCGCAAAGAATTTTTAGAAATTGTCGAAAAATTGAGCTTTCAGTTCATATAGTGGCATCTGGCTGTTTCTTAAAGGTTACTTTATACTTTTATACTTTAAGTAGTTTTTGGAGCAGTTACTTTTTCACTTTTACTTGAGTAAAGAGGTCAAGTTGATACAACTTTTACCAGAGTGTTTTTACTTCTACTTAAGTAACAAATGTGTGTAATTTTGACACCACTGGCCTCTATACAGAGCCATATTTAATGACACTTGAATTGAACTTTATTGATTTCAAATTGGGGAAATTTACCTCTGCATCTTAACCCGTCCCCTTCGGTTGTGATGGGCTGTCATTGTGTGGCGCCCCGGGAGCAATCAGGGGTTAAGGAACTTGCTCAGGAACCAAGAGTGCAGGCTGTGGGGATCGAACCGGGTATTTTCAACCTTCACAGAACAAGTGTACTGCTCTAACCACCAGGCCAACACTCCCCTATCAGGCAGGACATTCGGACACAGCCTGAGTGTTCGAATATCTAGGGGTGGAAAAGGTAGTGGACTCTAAATTTCCCACAATGCACCGTGAAAAGTGTGGTGCATCCAAGGTCACTAGATGCGCAGATATATCTTAGAATGCTTTGGAAGAGCTCTCCTTGCAAAGCATCATGTGATTTGTTTTTGGGCAAAGGAGAACAAAGATGGTGCAGGAACTGTGCGGGCAGCTGGAGTCACGTGACCAAAAAGGAGGGAAAACTGGTGACGGTTCAATAGAAATATTGCTGATAAACTAAACCTAAACTAAAATGTTTAGCAACACTTTGAGGGAATCACTGCAATCAGAAATGCTGTCAGATTTCTGCACCTGTTGATGGTTTGTTGGTGAATTAATCATGAGCAATGTGCTCCAATGTGTCTGGGATTGTTTTGTTTCTTTTACTTATCATTTACAAGCCATACTTCAGTGTAATAAATCCTAATTTTATATATTTTCATTTATATATTTTTTTTCAGTTTCTTCTTATTAGAATTTCTGTTGTGAATTTAGTCATTTCTTTAATGGCATTGTGTCTAACCTTTTAAACTCAACTGTATATTTTCATCTTGCTAAATACAATCCATATTATAATTCTCCAGAGAGGAAGAGGTGAACTGAGAACTGTTCTAGTTCCTCCTCGCTCATTCTGGCACACAGAAATGAGTCTTTCATGAAAACTGGTTCAAATACTGTAAATCGGAGGTCTTCAACAGGAGGGTCCGCGGCCCCTATGGGGTCCACAGAGGTACTGCATGGGGGTTGCAAAAGTTTTGGGTGATTAGACTTTTTTTTTTTTTTTATATTCCTCCCTGCAATTTTTTCCATTAATTGAAATGTCTATAAATCCACATTAACATGAATTCAACAGACTGAGTAAACAGATAAATGGAGGCAGAAGATGTCTTTCAGTCATCAATGCACACATTCAGCGACACACAGGAGCGCCTTTAAGCTGGGTACCGTTTCATTCACAACACCTGTCCCATCAACCAGGAATCAGAATCAGAAACACTTTAATAATTCCAGGGAGAAATTACTTTAGTTACATTAGTCCATTTGTAATAGAGTGACT